ATGTTTCAGGGCAAAGGATGAGATCAGATTTCCACGAAGCTGTCAATGACTCGCAGGCAGTGCAATGTTCGAAGCGAGTGAATGCAATAGTGATAGTCTCTGTCACAAGGATTGCTATCAAAAGCAAAGTGACCGTTCTGCTATGATGATGATGACTCGCATTGCCTTCTTGACGCTCACGCTTCTAATCACCTGCAATTCTAATGTGGTGATCACTTTTGATCACAGACACGGCAGCTCTCATCTTGACAACGCTCGTCTTCTCTGTTGCAAGTCTAGCATGATCACATCCACATCTTTTCTCTTCTTCTTGGTTTTTGGGGGAACTTTTCCTTGAGCTGCATGATGTACCAAAGTATGATTAGGATGGACGAAGAAATCAAAAGGTTGCATGATCAAAAGTATGCACCACATCCGACTATATTATGATTAGGATGGACGAGGAAATCAAAAGGTCGCAGGAACAAAAGGATGCGCCACATCCTACTGTAACGGCCATGTAACGGATGTGGCGGTAGCCTACGATTGCACTTAATTTTGCTGCTTCCACAATGGTAGCAATCTTTGGCTGATTAAATTTTGATGCCGCCATGTTGTGGCGGCAATCTTTGCTTGCATTTATTTTGAAAAACCCACTTACAGCAATCAAGGTCCATCATAATTAGTTAAAATCGCCACAATTTGAGCTGATTTAATTAGAAACTGCCAGGAAACAAAACCTTGATAGAGAAAGCTTGTAATCACATTTATGTAATCCATATCAAGACTGAATATTGTGGTTAGTGCACATACCAATCGATAAGGTTTTGTTGTAACACATACTTTTCATGTGTGAAACTTCTAGCCACCAACGTGACTTTGAAGATTCTCGCATCGTTTCATGTTGAATTGTCTCTTAGCTTGAACACCCACTTGGAGTCAATCAGTGCCTGATCTTTAGGATGTTCAACAAGTCCCAAGTCTTGTTGTCAATCAGCAAGTGCATCTTCCACTCCATAGCACCATTACAGTCTAGCTTGTTCACCCAATTTTGAGCTTTCTTGTATGAAGAAGTTTCACCTTCTTCCAAGATTAACGCCATATCATTCCCATACTTTAAATCAAGATCACTATCTTCAAGAATGGATGAGTTGGCCCATACATCAAACCTCTCAATAGCTCTGCTAGCATGATGATGATCTCGTAGTAAACATTTACGATTGCACTTTATCGTTTAGTATTATTACAATAGGCTCACCAACGAGAACCTGATCATGTAGTTGCTATTACTCATGAACTTGTAACACATCATGGTAATATAATGATCAATTTTTTCCACAACATCATCCGTGAGTAAAGATTTACTCTCAGTACGGATACCTCATAAATTGCACCTCTTTCAATAAGCCAAGTTCATTGAAAGATACACCTCTACTAACAACCATCTCATGGGTTACTATATCTTGTAGTTTATAACCTTTCACTTCACTAACATATCAAAGAAAACAACGATTCTTGGATGTAGGATCTAACTTAGTCATGTGCTCCCTATGTGTGAGAGTATAAACTATACAACAAAAAATTCTCAAGCGATTGTAATCTGCCATCCGTTTATGCTTCAGTTCAAACGGTATTGAGAAATTGATTGCACTATAAGTAGATTGATTTACCAAATAAACTATTGTGTTTACATCTCCGGTTCAAAATTCTCATTGTATACCTGATTTGCTCATCTTACTCCTCACCTTCTCCAACATTGTTTGATGAAGCCTTTCAAAAACAACATTTTTGTTGTGGATTATAAATCATGGTGAAATGGTGAATAATCAACTCTTCTATACAATAACTCTACAATTTCTCATAAGTAAACTCACCATTATTATCTAATTGTAGATACTTCATCTTTTGTCCAGTTTTAGTCTTAACTTGTACACGTCAACTTTTGAAGGTTGAAAACACATATGCCTTGCGGGTGATTTTTCTAATAATTATTCATATTATCAATGAAAATATGTTGTAAATAAAATAGTTAACTTTCATGACTGTGATAATCATATCATTCAAGCTTAAAAACATATTTATTATTTTAGTTAAATCATTTGATTAAAATAAATATATATTTTTTGATCTTACTAGGTATTAAATTGAATTTAAGAAATATTCATAAAATTTTATCAATGCAAAATTTTGGTTTGAAAACTTCAGTTTTATATTAAATGTGTATTTCATGTTTATTTAATAATCATTTTATATATAATAATGTTTTAACTTTTTTTTCATGTTTTCATATAAAAATATATTTTAATTAATATATATTCAACATTTTTTCATTCATTGAAGTATATTTATATTTTGAAAAGCTATAACAATTATATTATTCTTAAATTTTGTTGCTAACTTAAAATTAAAGCTTGATTGTATTGTAACAAGTATTTTTTGAGCATAAGTGAGAGTTTGGATATACTTTTCATAATTATGACTAATGACTAAATCCAAATAATTTTGATTTTGTAACACATCAAGTTTTATAAGTATCTTATGCTTATTGCCATTAAAAACAACCTTACAAAATTTAAACCAAAAAATTTGATATATTTGAATGATAAAAATATACAAATTTATGTTTAAGGTTTAGTTATAACTTTAGTTTCAATTTAATGAAATATGTCAAGTTTTAAAATTCTATTATTCAGACAATGTTGTTTAAGTTGTTAAAAAAACTATTAAGTTGTATGCTAACTATGTTTTGAATATTACATGTTAGTTGATATTATACTTTAGCTGTTTTTTATTGTATTGATGGCCATACTATGACTAATTTAATCAAAGTTAGTATTTTTTTAAACAAAATGTTTCCATTATGATGTCTTTGAAATACATACTAAATGGAAAACACTATTCAGATTATAGTAAATCTTCATGAAGTAAAATAAAAAATCACAAGTGAGGTGACAGTATCAACAATAAATCAAAGAAGGTTAAAACAAGATGGATGTAACGTGGTTCATCTAGGGACTAGGTCAAAGGCTTAAACACACATATAAAAATGGAAATAGTTTTCAACCAGCAATTGACGCGTCTCGGTTTCACCTCACTAATTGCGTCATTGCCCCGAGCGCAAAGATATATATATGTATAAGTATACATATATATGCAAACTTAGATTTGTCGATAACATATGATTGTAATTGAAGGTTCAATCATAGCATTATATATTAAGAATAGCAAACACTTTTATGTTCAAATATACATATTGAGAGTGAAAAAAGTTAAACTTTATATATTACAAGATATTTGATCTGATGTACTGTGTTAATAAAAGTTGAAAGTTGTGATGCAATATTTATGTGCACAATTTTGTCATGAACTTTGATTTAAATGTTGTCTACTGTGATTTATCAACTGAAGAAATGATTGATAATTTAAGATCAATCAACTTATAACTGTATCATGAATATGTAAATAAACTTGTACTACTATAGCTTTTGAAAAGTGATAAAGAATATTTTTCAGATAAATTTTAGCAAATTTTGTGTCAGTTATAAAATTGTGTTTAACATTAAATTTATAAAATTTTTGACATTTGAAAAATATGAATTATGTAATTTTTAAAATGTAAAAAAACATTTAATAACATAATAACATTTAATAACATATTTAGTTGCACTAAAGCAAGTTATCTTCAGCTCAAATGATTGAAATCATGTCATATAAAACATAAAACTTATTTCCAATCACACAAATTGTTATTCATATAATTGAATTATTGAAATATACTAACATTTTCATATATTTTCAAAATTGGAAAAATAATGGTAATTTTGGAAAATTGTTAGAATATAAATGTTGTGTGAAATCAACATAATATGTTTTTATATGTTTAAATAGAAATATATATTTTGATTCAATAATCTAATTAATATACGATTATAATAATAGTTTAGAAAACATAAAAAGTGTAAAATCATTGATAATCATTTGATTAGAAATGAACAATTTTTTTGATTGAAAACTTATCAATTATTTTTTCTATTTGATTCTATTTCAAAGTTAGAGAATTTGATTCATTGTTTATAAATAAATCTGCATTTTAAAATTGAAATTTCAATAACCTCATTTATAATTCAGTAGAAATAAAATGTTTGATTTTTTTTAAATATTGTGCATAATTCTACTGTTTGAAAATTTTTACGATTCTCCACTGTTTTTTTTCAATCAAATTTTTTTTCCAGAATTTTTTTAGTGACGATCTAGCATATGAAATTATATTAGAAACTGAATCTCAATTAAGTTTTAAAACATCAATAAATATGTTTTTTTAGTTTATTCATAAATTTGATTTATCATCCAACATTTGAATATACAATAAAGTAATTTTGAAATGATTACTTTCCAGTTACTTTAGTTTTGAATCAGTAGTATCTAATGTAATTACTATAATATTATATTATATTTCGATCAAAGACAACAATTTGTAATCATAAAATCTTCATAATGATGGATTGTAACCATATTATCTTCTTGGCTCCCTGTTTTACAAACAGGGAGCCAAGTGGATAGGAAGATCACCAAGCTGCACAAAGAAAAGAAAGAAAAGGAGTTGAAATCAAAGGCTAGGGTAAATTGTTTCAATGCAGTGAAATGAGAAGATTAGAACTATAAAGGAAGCTGAATGTGTATAATCTGAGTAAAAGAAAAAACCACAAAATAATCAAACGTGTATCTCTGCACAATACTGAATGTATTGAATCTCCGTTCTCCACGTCACTGACGCAGCTGCGGCCATCATGTGCCGAGCAGCGGAGTCCATGTTTCGGTTACAGATTCTATGTACAGGACAACTCCGTACAGCGTGGTCACGCAAAGGTACAGAAATATGGAATTTACAGTCCAGGTGGCATGTGGTGCCATTTACCGCGGCTCTCACAAGATACGGTGATCGAGCGGCCATTATGAAAATGGTCCCGCGGGAGAGATAAAGCTCGTGGGCCTGCGCGTTTGAATTAGCGTTTGAAAATGTAACATTACGGCGCACTGCAGCTTTGGCTCAGAACGAGCAGATGGCTTTCGCCCTTTAGCAGCAGCAGCACGATGTCTGGAGCGACGTCGACGTCGACTCCGATGCCGATGCAAATGCCGATGAAACAGGGCACCGACGCGATGCTATGCGGAATTGGCCGACTGCTCGTCTCGGGCGCATTGGTGTGAATTTGGTCTTCGGGGTTTATGAATTACTCTGTTATACGAGCAGCAGCTTTATGCGAAGAAGCTAGAACTGCCTCGAGCGTGGCGACGGCATGACCGTGGCGTTGCTTTGCTATGTCGGTTGAAGCGTGCCTGTGGCCCCTGTGCTTCTCAACTGGATTTTGAAACATGTGTGGCTCCATGTTTGGTGATGGTCGGCGGCTGAGCGAGGACCGTGGGCGTTTGGAGGAGAGACGGTGTACATGACTTTTCCGTAGGGTATGAGCCGTGTGTCTCGTGGATTTGGCTGGGCAGAAGATCTATTTGTAGTCTTCCGAAGGCAGGAAAACGTCAATTGATGTGGGCAACTTGTACTTTTTGCGCAGGATAGCCTCTGGAGGGTCATGGATCTCTAGGTTCTTGCACCTCGAGTGTAGCAAGCGGCTGCGGGTGGGTCCGATGAGGTACTGGTCTTGAATATTCTTTAGTCATGAACGTTAGAAATATTACATTTGGTTTGTTTTGAGTAGCTCAAATTCTACACAAATAAAACACATAGGAGACAAATAGATGCTAATTGCAGAGAATTATTGGTCAATATGCAATTGGTGGAAGACTTCCCTCGCCAGTTTTTTAATTATTTATGAGATTGCTGATAGTGATAAGAGCTTAATGTAAATGTCAGACTTTGACGTACTCAGAAAATCATGTCAAAATTAGTGCATTGCATTACCACAACCCAATGATCTAAAATTTCCTTCAAAGACTATCTTGCGGGTGATAACAATCAAGCCAGACTTGGAACTAATGACTGTATTCTTATGTTCGGATGTTTTGTTCAGGCGTGATTTGCCATGACATGTGCCTTGCCACATCTTTTTCCTTTAGGTGCATTGGAATGAGGAAGGAAGGCGAGACCGGTTCTTCTGTTTGTCGGATTGAGTACAACAGAAATCTTCTTGAGCTTCATCACAGATGGAGATCGCAATGCAAATAGGCTGGATAGCATTTCCAGCTCAGAATTTTTGATGTTACCAACTTACAGAGGATGAAACTTGAACTTACGAAGCAACAATGGGGATATCCGGATTGCTTCCGACTCTCAAGTCAATTATTACACCAATTCATGTCCGAGAATATGCAGGGCTGAAGGTTGCTATTGATACTTACTCCTGGTTGCACAAGGCTGCATTTTCCTGCAGCAAAGATCTGTGTGAAGGTCGCCCAACTGATAAGTACGCACGGATCTCATTTCATAAATTACCGTATGTTTCTTTATGCAAAGTCCTTTCTTATATTTTACAGTTTTATTGATCTAGATACTTTGTCACCATGTTGTCCATTACAGGATCGTTCAATACTGCATGCATAGAGTGAATCTGCTACGCCACCATGGTGTACAACCCGTACTTGTGTTTGATGGCGGAGTACTTCCTATGAAAATGGACCAAGAACAAATCCGTGCAAGGTGCTAAACCACATATTAAGTCAAATGAATGCTCTTCACAATACCGTGATCATGACCAGCAGATTTAATTGTACAAGACAGAGGACAATTATCTTATTATGAGTTGTTTTCTGCACGGAACTTAATGATTTGAGTAGCTGCTGAAGATGTACATAATACTATGTCTTCCATAATGTTATGAAATGAGGAATATATCTCATATAATGTCTGACTGTAATCCATCTTTCATACTTGGCTGGATAAGTACAGATCAAGAAAGGAGAACCTGCAACGTGCACAAGAACATGAGCGGTCTGGAAATCATACAGCTGCGTTTCAATGCTACCAAAAAGCCGTTGATATCACACCTGTCATAGCATTAAGTCTTATTAAGGTGCATATTCTTCAGCTTTTACAGTGAATGTTCTAACCGAAAATCTTCTTAAAAGACCAATAGAAAATTAATTACAATGAAGAATCAAGAATTATTTTGATGCTTGCTCCCTAGGATTTTTGCCTTTCAGATGCTATTAACATGATCATCTCCATTTCCGAGTCCATCATAAAGTCATTGCTATCAGAATGATCAGAGCTGTCAAAGCTTCACAAATGTCTCTCTACGAACTTGTTGGGTGCTGTTTTCTACATTGTCAGGTCTTACAGCAGGAAGGTGTCGAATACATTGTTGCACCGTATGAAGCTGATGCGCAGATGGCATATCTTGCTTTAAATGACCTCGTTCAAGTTGTCATCACTGAAGATTCGGACCTTATTGCCTATGGATGCCCACGGGTATGTCCTGCTTTTGCGAGAGAATATATCAGTTTGTGTTGTATCTGCTCATCTGAATCTTCCTGAAACGACACGGCTGGACAAACTCCTGATGTATACTTCTGTCTTTGGTATGTGCCAATTGTAAGTCACTCAACAATGTCATCGTTGGAAACCTTGGAAGTCGCTGTATTTTGCTTCCCCATTAATTTTAGAAATGTAACATTGTAGAAAGGACATCTAGACGAAGAATGCACTAATACATTATCTGGCTTAGTGCAGTTGAGGAAAATCATGCAACGCAATCTAACTAGGAACGGTTTGAAGAGATAAATAAAATGAGGATGAAAACCCCATGGTGGGGCACATGGTAAGAGTGGACAATAAAACGAGGCCACATAATGACGGAAGTAATTAATTTATTGATTACTTTTCAAACTCAGAGTAATTTGACTAGTAACACTGAGATCATGCTCTTGACCAATCAGGTTTTATTCAAGATGGACAAATCTGGCCACGGAGAAGAGTTTCAGTACAGTGACCTTGTTCGTAATAAGGACTTAAACTTTACGAACTTTACAAAGCAGATGGTTTTGGAGATGTGCATCATGAGTGGATGTGACTATCTTCCATCATTGCCTGGAATGGGAGTCAAACGAGCCCATGGGTTGATGCGGAGGTTCAAATCCTATGAGAAGGTTGAAAACTTGAAACTGCATATTCCCTGTATCTTGCGGAAGTTTTTAAGTTTCAAGAATAATCTGTCTTTCTTGTTTGTGCCTGATAACTTACGTCAGAAGTTTCGAATCTCCACAGGTTATTCGACACCTGAGATTTAGTGGAATCACTATTCCCTCAGATTACGAAGAACTTTTTGGAAGAGCCATCTTGACGTTTCGTCATCAACGAGTTTATGATCCCATTTCCGAGGAGATGGTTCATCTCACAAATGTTTCTTCAGTTGACGAATTCTCTGACCTGGACTATTTAGGCCCATATCCTTATCGGCCTGCTTAAGTGCTCAGAGATTCAAGAAAGGTTGTATGTCAATGCAGTCACTCAGTGCTTATTATTTCGTCACGATGTTATGAAAGATAAGAAAAATTTCACACTAGTCAAAAGATTTAGTCAGGTGCAAAGCAAATTATGATTGTCCTCAGTTTTGACGATGACTGTCCTTAATCATAAACACATATTTGCCTCAGACATTGATGAAGGCCATTGCAGTGGGTAAAGTTGATCCCTGTACGAAGCTTCCTTTCCAGGTATGTGTATGTTACAGACATCAACCTGACACACTCAGAAGCTGTTTTCTTGGGTACATATGTACAGTTTGTCTCAATCGCTTACTGTGTTACATTGGAGCTGTAACGTAATTGACACACATTTTTCCTTGTGAGAAAATATGAAATTTTGGCTCTTACTTTACTCAAGCCGTATATTACTCAAGTAATAATCAAGACTGTCATCTAGCATCATAGGCGTATCGTGGTATAACTTTGACTTGTCTCTTGCTTACATTGAAGTTGACCACATTTTCAGGAAGATATCGAGCACACGGGTGTGCAACGTTCTACCTACAAAAGCTTTGCTTTGCAGAGAAATAACAAAAAGTCTCCAGAGTTACTGGTGCAAAAGAACGTTATGACGAATTACTTCTGTATCCATCTACTACCTGAATGTCTATGTTATTTTTCTGTCGATTTTTAAACAGACTTACATATGAACATGGATGACGAGGTTCATATTTAATTTTGTAAATGAGCTCCTTATGATCTTCTAGGTTCTGGATAAGCCAAATGTTAGAGCACGACGGTGCTGCAAAAGTGCCAATGATGGAGTTTTAATACATCATTTCGCTGATGAATTTACCTCTGTTTGAATATCAAGAGATGTTTTTACTGTGTAGTCCTTGACCTGGTAAAGTCTCTCCCTCCAAGGAAGCCAAGAAACAATTCAAGGCCCCCAGAAGTGCTCCTGAAGTTGAAATGGGAACTGGCGAGAAACACTATGTGGAAACTTCTACATCTGAGAAAGAGGAGTTCTTTAGATCTTTGAAGGCAGACTTTTCATATCCAGATCTTTCCACAGTGTTCGGCTCCCCACTCCCTGACGAGGATAGCGATGATGAGGTTGGCCGCGATCTAGGGTCTACTCACCAACTTTATGTAAGTGAAACCATCACATCACCATAGTATTGTAGCGCATGATAGATTTGTGATGCCTGTTGGCGCTAGACGATTTAGTGGTGAAGGTGGTTTGATTACTTGCATAAGGAGGTCATGTCAGACTTAGGTTCTCACTTTCGTCATATACGGACAATCCCACCTGAGAATCCAGATGGGCCCAGTAATATCTTGTCGTAGGAACGAAAGTATCTGGTTGTCATGACAATTCATACCTTCTTCGTTTATGGTCAGCCAGATCAGGAATACTTTCCAGAAGCCAAAGACCTCAAAAGAGTTACCTCACTGCCTTTCAGCTCCTTGGGTCGAACTGTCCATATCCCAACGATGATGTAGATCGAATACCTGTAATCCGTTCCAAATCGCAGGATCTTGCAGTTTTAAGCTGTAGACGACCACTTTTTCTTGCCGTTAACGAAAAGTGACTGTACCTAGCACTAATTGTTGGCCTTTGCCTATGCAGGGTGAATCGGCCATACTAGAGCATCGAAACAAAGCAGATGAAACCCTGGGTGCTTCGAAAGGTGTGGTTGCTTGTGTGCAACATTCAAGAATGATTCGTTTCTTCCTTGTCCTCTGCTTTTGGGGACTTGTCTATGAGCTGTTCATTCCTTGAAAGACCTGTCCTATCGTAGTCTGTAGCAAAAGAAAAGTCGCGTTTCTGTAAAAATATCCAAATTTCTCGGCCAAGGGTTTTCAGATTTGTGAAAATCACTATGAAATAAACGTTCTGTAGATGTTCCTAACCTTCAAGCGCTTGGGCTAAACCTGAAGATCGAAGACGCTCCGAGCATCTCTTCCTTACTCGCTTGTCATGTGTGGGCACCTGGTCGTGATGTAGATGTACCATCTACTGAGTTGAAGGCCGTCATTGGAATTCGTGGACAAAATGATAGCCTGGCTCGTGTTGCTAGAAACGCTGAAGGCGCCATTGAGTGTGCTCCTAACCAGCATAAGTCTGGATTACCAGCGAGTGCTGGAGAAAGACCATCTGTGAAGGAGAGGACACATATTGTTGCCCCTCAGTTGAAAGTGAGTGGATATTTCTCAAACAAAAGAATGGTGCAGAGTAGCGTAGTCAGGCGGGATACAGAGGAATATGCAACGGATAGAAGTGAGGTGTCTGAAGAGGATGCTGATGGCTGCTGTGAGAAAGTTATGAAGAAGAGCAGGATCGCTTTATGTGAGATTGTCAGAGACAAAGTGGAGAAAAGCTCATTACTTTCCAGTAGTCGGTGTCAAGATGGTTCTGAGTTGGCTCATGCGAGAAGCGAATCGTGGAATCCAATCTCACGAGAAGAGGAGCGTAAGTACCAAATTATGCATCAGTGACTTGTTCCTGGAATGAATCCTAGTCCTCTGCTTTTCTGGGTGGTACTCAGACCTCTGAACCCATCTCCCGGTGGTCAGGTCATCACTTCGAAGCTGAGTTGTCTTTGCCGTTATTACAGAAAAGCCTCTGCTTTACATGATCCGATCCTCGAGGATGAAACAACTTTACAACGTATTTCGTAGTTCAAAAGATGCGTCACTGTAGAGTCATGCATGTTTCATGCTTTGAAGTTCGACTTTGAAAACTACGTTGCAGCTTTGTCACTACGTTACCTGCTTTCTGTTTCATACAACTGGGTAATAGTGCAGCATGGATCTTACATCTGGGGAAGTCGCCATTTTCCATCTTACGATTGATAGCTGTTCCAGGAGTTTCTAACAACAAAGCTTGTATCCACTGCACAGAAAAGCAAGCGTCTCCCTTCAGCAGATTTGCACATGAAGGTGTCAGCTCTAAGGTGGAAGGTTTTGCCTCCAACGTTGCCCATGTGGGCCATTATGCACGCATAGCAGAGAAGTCAATGGAAAGGTTTGTGAAGTCCATAGCTACTTCTCGGTGCTCTCTCAAGGGTACGAGAGTTAGTGGGCTTCGTGCGCCCTCGAAAGTTGTACCAGTCTCGCAAGACTTAAAAAGGTGAAATAAGATGTCCGCCATTTTCACACCACCTTTCGACATATCTGTACGCGTAGTTATATTGCAGCGCTGCAACATTGGAATTATGAATCATGTCTCATATCAGACACTACAGTACGATGACGATAGGTAGGTCGGCAGGTGTTTCTTAGACAAACGGATTCGTGACTTCGTTTAGAACGTGTGGTACACAGTCTAATGCCGTGTGTATGGCCTTGTTAGTGGGTCTGTAAGGGTTTGAACTGCATTTTTTTGGGTAAAGTTGACCAACTGCATTTCAAATTGTCGGTCCATGCTTCCTGTGAAGTTGTCAATCACATTTCTCTGCCTGTGGTTGCTCCGACCAAGCTATGCATCACTCTGAGGATGGATACTGTAGTTCAAATTTGGTCTCCCCTGCCACCCTGACATTGCGTGTGCCTCCCAATCAACGATCCCTGCATCACCATGTGGTGGCGTTGTGTGCCTGCAGAAGGACGACTAAAGGTCTTGAGGCTGTGGAGGCGACGTTGAACCAGTTCTCTTATAACTTATCAAGCTTTAAACCTCCTCGACTGGGTCAGAGCCGATGGCCCCCTAAACTAGTGACAAGTCATGATGTCAGAAGACAAGATCCTGTCTGCCCGGACTGCCCATGAGGTCATTGTGAGCTGGAGGTATTTCGGTGTAACTGTGCATGGGGCTCGCCCCTCTCCTGCACATTGCAGGCTTTTGATCTCGGATCGATGGCGTAGAATCACTGATTGTGAATATTCCTCGCTGTGCGCTTCACTCCGAGACCATCAAAGAATGATTTTGAGAGTATACGAAAAATCTGTCTCGTCCCGTCTCGTCTCAGCTCTTCGTCGTGCGTCGTGCTCCGTGCGCTATGCACCTCGGCACTCCACGCCGCCCCGCCCCCTTTCCCCCCACGCCCCCAACCCAACTCAGTTATCGAGCAGCTGCTGCAGCAAACACGACAAGTCGGTGCTCGTTCTGCATGGCTTCGGGCTCGGAAAGCAAGCGGGTGGACGGGCGCAGAGTGGCATCGGCTGCTCTGACCTCCAACTTCCCCAGCAGCGCTCTTCGTAGTCCGCTGGGGACCATGGGACTTGGCGATTCGCAGCAAATTCTCGCTCGTCAGCACGTGATGCCACGCGAGCGATCGAGGGAGGCAGGACTTACAGTCGAGCTCGCAAGCCCACAGGTTCCGATCCGAGGACGAACAGACGAACAGACGGACGGACGGACGGACGGACGGTCGGGCGACAACGGAAGCGTCGATCCGGCGGAGAGCCGGAAAGTGCAGGGAGAGGTGGTTCGGTGGTGGGGGAGGGCTGCGCTGCCCTCTGCACCGGAACTTTCCTCGGCTTATCCACTCGCGTCGAGCGGTAGCTAGTCAGCGAGCCTAGCGCGAGACGAGGGTAGCGTAGCAGCAGCCGATTGACAGAATGTAGATCTACACACAGTCAGAGCAGTTATCTGGACATACCTGGGTATCTTCTGGTGCTAGTGCGGGGGTTTGTTCTCTGCGGAACTGGGCGAGGCCGTGGGACGATCCAGAGTCCCGACTGCGTCAATCATCAGCGGGGCCAATCATCAGCCGGGCCCGTGGGGCCCGTTTTCCGGTTTCAAAGCTGAGTCGGAAGGTATCGAAGATGCCCGCCGGGCGCATCGAGTTCGAGTGCATGCTAATCTTTGACTCCCGTAGTCCCGGCCCTGGGCTGGCTGTGCTGGGTCTTAGCCGATTCCCTGCCACTTAAAAGGTGCACGCTAATCCTGAACAATTTCCTCTGCGTTCCTTTGATGCTGCTGGGTGCATAATAGCCATACATCATACGATCATCCTAGTTTCAAACACATTATTTCTGACAGTTGGAATTGAGTTCTCCACATATCAAGGAACAAAGAGGAAGCGGAGCGGAAAATTGTAGCTCAGGTGGATAGATTTTCTCTCGGAGGCGTGATAATCTGCCCAAAAAGCCTGAATCCGTGCCGTTGAGCCTTCTCATCTAGGGAATATCTTGCACTTTCGGCCCAGAGCTTTTCATTTTGACAGAACCTTTCATGATTGACGAATGTGGTGTTCATTTCGCGAATTCTGTTAGTCTTTTTTTCTACATGATGTAGGATGGATACGTGTCTCAACCTTCTACTCAAACTGCATCTGTCAATCCGTTAGAACACCTGAGCTCAGTAGCAGGGGCCGGCAAGTTGGATCCATGCAGCAGAATAGATAAACTGGACTCGATTGTCTTCTATCATCTGCTAATATCTGTGAGTCGAGTAGCCGGTGAGGTGAATCACTTTAATGGCACTACGTAGGCAGGAACAATAGATTCGCCGGTTGACGTCGCAGGGTCGATGCAGAGCTGGAGTTTCTCTGGCAACTTGGTTCGCTTCTGGCCCCGACTGATGATTAAGACCAGAGCGGTGGTCTATGGCTGCAGCGAGTGGCGAGAGGCGGACAAGTAGATCCGTGCTCTGCTGTTTTCAGCTTCAAAGTTGGCTCGGATTCTCCAGCAGCTTTGATTCTCGCCTCTGGTGGTTGAGGATGGAATTCCCAATATTAAACAAGAGTGGACGAGAGCCAGATATCATTGTCTCATCCATCCCAGAAATTTTCTCCTTTCACCTTCCCACCTCTCTCCCCGACCTCCACCTGGGGTCTCACAATCTATGGAGCCTACACGAATCAGCCGTAACACTCTTGGCCTGGAGGCCAAGGAACAAGATTTCATTCTGGAGGACATGCGGAAGGGCGCTTGTCCCATTGATGTCAGCCATACAAAAGTGCAATGGAAGACACGCGAAAGAAGTGTCTATTTCCAGAGCTTTACGCTCGTACCTTATCATTACCTGCTTCATTCCGAGCAATCTGAGAGTGCGACCTAAGGAGGCGGGATGTATCGGTGGGGCGGAAGGTCGATCAGCAGCTGGAAGAGCTACGGGGTGGCTCGTTAAGTCTCGGACTCATCATGCCAGTGCGTGTGATGAGCTTGCAGACAATTCACACCTTTCTGCTGATCTTTGTGAATGATGGGGGCGGAAAAAGTGTGCATTACGAGACTCGAGAACTCGAGACGAGAGGGAGAGAGTGAGAGAGAGAGAGACGTCCTGTGCTTATTACAGCGCACGAACTAGCCAAGACTGTAGTGTAGGCTCGTTTGGGCATCGTCGTCTCATGGTTGTATTGTAGTAGGTAAGGAGGGCTTATCTTACAGAGAAGGAAAGAGGTCGGTCGGAGGGCGAGGGATAAAAAAAGCTCTGCAGAGATCTGCTGGGATCATGACGTGACCTCAATCAGGTCAGAATCGGACCTACGGAGCTTGCAATGAATCTAAGGCGTTTTTACAGCAATCCAAAAGAACGAGCACTCATTAGCTCTTGTGAGCCAGTGTATGAACTTCTGCACCTGGAACTCTATGAACTGTGCCAAAAGAGAAGGGTTCCGAAAGTCAGTCAGGTTCAAATGATTCGGGAATGAGAAATCCATGGTCAAAAATGAAGAACATCTCAACCCCTTGGTATTTACGCTCGACAATCTCTCCTCAATGGACGAGAGTTAGTTGATGCGCGTCAAGGCTGCAGCAGGCAGTTACCCCAGGGGCCGCAGGGCATTCATTTGTGTACGATCTCAGAACCCCATCCGTGTACAGATGTAGATGATTCTACCACATGAGGATAACAGAGAACACAGGTCCTGGAGTCAGACTCTATCCTAGTTGAGAAACGGAAAGTTAAGGAACCATTATGAAGCTCATGATGCCTCCCCTGTCAACAGCCAAGATACCGAGAAGATTTTCTCTTGTGCGAGAAAGGAGAGATGAGTCAGATGAGGTGACCATGGAACCACGTCAAAGAAATAAAGTTGTCTGCTGTCTTCCTGGGAAGAATGACCCAGCCTAACATCTCTCATAACTACCGCAGCCCTGGCGCGGCCCCCCTTCCGCCCCCCGCCCCTCCCTCTCTCGCCCTCTCGATCTCTCGAATCTCTCGTGTTCTCTTCGGGGCTCGATTCGGATGGGAAGCGAGCGAAGCGACTCCGGGAAAAGGAAGGAGAAGGTGACCACGAGCGAGAGAAAGAGCGAATCCGAAGACGTAGCCGAGGAAGAACAGGAAGAAGAAGAAGAAGACGAAGAAGTTGATCTGAATCGGAGCAGCGAGAGCCAAGTTCAGGTTTGCGGAGAACAGATGATGGTGGGACCCGTGCCATCTTGCTTTACTTCGTGCCAACGAGCACAACTGTTTTTATGCTAAACAACACTCGAGAATTTGTGGTGGGTGCGTCTTGATCTTCACTGCGGCCTCTGAGCTCTGAGCTCTGATCTTCTGATGCCGGGCTGTTGCTCGACTCGGTCTGTCCGTCTGTCTGAGTTGGACTCTGATATTTTAGAGGTCTGTGTATATCCCGGCATTCTACTGTGAGAGGGGCGTACTTCTCATGCTCGACTCGGACAAGAGAGAGAGAGAGAAAGAGAGAGGGAGAGTCGATCGTGAAATCCACGCACGCATGTCTCGGTCCCTCTCTCTTCAAGCGAACAAAAAATGGACACGGTCTCGTTCACCCTCTCCCTCGCTGCGTCTCCCTCTCGCTCGGTCTGTGTCCGTCTCGCTTTCACATATGAATAAAGAAATGCGAGACTCACAGCAGCCCAGCACATTCATGATGAGACGGGCAGCCCCACCAAGAGCACAAAAGGCGAAGACATCATGAATATTATTCTTGTAGGACAGGGATTTGAACTTTACTGTCAAAACAAACGGAAAGCATGGAGAAGAAGAAGATTCACAATGGCACACGCATTCACCTACACCACCCGACACTCGATCTCAATGCCACATGATACCCAAAAGCAGAACACCAAATAAAGGTGTCCCTTCAACACCAAGATCAATGTGCTAAGGCATGATGATGGTGCATCCCCGGTGCCCCAACTTCCGAACTGCACCGAGCCGAAATATTCAAATCGCCTGAGCGTTTGTACGTGCTCTGCTCTGCTCGCACCGATGACGAGTCTAGAGAACGACACCCCAGCCCCGCAGCACTAGTCTCCTGGCCCCCTCCTTCCTTCCTACTAACTCATTCCACTCACTCCCCTCCCTCCCTCCGTCCCATCAATCAGTGACAGCTACACTGCAGTAGATCCCACCGCAATGCTTCACACGGTAACTCCTCCACGGCTCACAGGCCAGACGTAAGAAAGTTGGGAGGCCCTACTAATCGATCCAGCACATCGTTCGTCCAGGGCGGACACCTCGCTCACCTCGCTCACCTCGCTCGCTGCAGGATGAACGAGAAGCCGTCGGAAGAAAGTCGGCCCACAAACCATCCCATCCGAACGCGGAAAGATAAGGATCGTGCTTTACTTAGATCGATCTAAACACGGAAAGCACCGAAAATGCTATGAGCACACTCTCACTCGCGCGCCCAGGCATTTACATGCAGCAGCCTAGGATCGATCCTCGTAGCCCCATATCGCACTGCACTGACTCCCTGACTGACTGAATCTTAAAGCGCAGCAGTCGATAAAGGGGTCGTCGCAAGCCGAAGGCGAAGCAGAGAAGGAGGAGGAGAAGGAGAAGGAGACGGAGGAGGAGGAGCAGCAGAAGCAGGGCCCAGGGTTTAAGTCATAATGATACACTCATCGACACACACAACACACCCGCACTCTCTCGCCCTCTCTGTCCCTCACTCTCTGTCTCTCAACCGGCCATGACAGAACTGAATCCTGGAATCCACTGGACCGGGCCGGTCGATCCACGGGGGAGATAACTCTTCCAGTTCAGCAGGAGGTGATTTTAGATTCTTCGATCACAGAAATTCAGTGATGCGAGTCTAATGTTTAGGTCAATCCGCATCTTCTCTGTTCTCGTAATCATACTCTGGCTCTTTTGCGTCTTTTCGGCTCGCGGCTCATCAAATTTTATGCTATTTTTCCATACAACTCATAACTCGTCAGACACGAATATATTGCACGTGTATTCAATGGATCTGCTGTACTGAGACATGAGCTTACTTTTGAACTCCCCAGCAATCATCTTCTCCGAGGATTTGAATAGAACCTACGATAGCTGCTGCTGATCACATGTGAATCAGACAAGCGTGGACACACTTTGCAACCCAGAGAGTGAGTCTCTGGAGAGAGTCAGCGAACATCGAAGATAAGACAGAATGACGTCCAGATTCGGATCGGTAACTCTTCTCGGAATCTCTCCGAGCTGGAGCTGGAGTCCAGGCTCGCTCTCTCTCTCTCTCTCTCTCTCTCTCTCTCTCTCTCTCTCTCTCTCTCTCTCTCTCTCTCTCTCTCAGTCCCAGCCAACTTTACCCGCCATGCAAATTCACAGCTTTAACGACCAAGTTACTCTGCCGTCCTCTCCGGTCAAGGCCCAGCTCCTTGATGCATGCCGATGCAGTTTCTCGAAAACTGTCTAAACCTGGTAATCAATGGCTCGGAATCCACAAACACCGCGACAACTGAGTGTCCAGAAACTTACAGCACACATTTCTACTTACAGTGCGTGAAGCAAATAGGGGCAAGGCAAGGCAAGGCAAGGCAAGGCAATCAGAGAGGAACAGGCACATGTGGAGGAATCTGACCTGACTTACACACACGCATATATATAATAAAACCCCGATCAGGAAATGGTCTCTTATTCTTCAGTGATGATTGCCAATTACCAGACGGGATCTACGGGATGTGCAGTAAGTTTATCATGTTCGGAAGAGATCGCCCGTACGGAATCTTAGACTGGCTCTCGCATCAGGCGAGACACTCGTCCTCTCGAGAACCATCTGTGAATGAGTCTGACCGATGACATGTGAGTTTAGAGGGTGGTTCACACATGCAGGAAGCTTTTGAAATAACTCCCACATGAATAATACCGAAGATTTCCGCTGAATCATAAATATGCATCGCACAGGATCGACTGCTGGAAAGATAAGTAAGATTATTCGATGTGCATATCTAAAATATACAACGATGTATAATACAGGGCGAATGATTATATTCTTTCGTAAACACTTTCTCCATCAATGAAGTAAGTTTATTCCCACGATTCACTAGCAGAGGAAAACTTCAAGGCCTAGACAGGAACCTTTAGTGGTTGACAAAACTCGTTCGAGTAACTGCAAAAATGTGGTTCGACGGGGGTAATGTAATTCACAACAAAATCATTTGGCGAAAGCCGTGGCTACGTAGCATTAGTAATCATTTGGTTTGACATTGTTCCTCAAATTGTTCGGTACTGACCAATATTAGAAGAGGCTACCCTGTTGTCATGATGGGGATCACAAGAATTTTAACGTATGCTCGACCTCATGAATTACTCAGTCATCTGAAGAGAATCTGTGAGTGGGTAAAGCGGATTGAATACGATAAAGATAAAGATTTCCACAGATTAGCACTGTCAGTTTCAGTTGTTCTCTATCTTACAACAGAAATAGATGAGCCTCGAGCCTCGTCCCGTGTTCTAACCCGAGAGGGCCTTTCGCAACGGTAAAGCTCGCCGAAGGACCGCGAGATTCGGCACCCGGTGGATATTTACAAATAATCGAAAGTGGCACAAAAGCGAAGAGGGCGAAGAGGGCGCCTGGAATCTGGAATCAAATCAATCATTGGTTCCAGTAGGCTAGACAAACTGTACTGCACGTCGGTGTGACACACGCTCGAATCTTGTCACCCAGATGCCGAATCGCGTTCTTATATTTGTTTCCGCAGGTAGGCACGCAGCCCCCGTCCATTTACTCATCTTCTTCCATTGCGCGCTGTGTAATCCGAGACAAAGGCCGCAGAGAAAGTGGCCAGCCGGACTTTAATTCGGCTTGAAACAAGGAGCCGAAGACTGAGCGCGGCTTCGGATCGTGTATCTTGCGGCTCATCTCGTTCACGTCCCTGCACAGGGACTCATGATTAATCATGATATGACAGTCGCGTTATAACTTCTAATGGTCAAATTCTGAATAGTAATCGTTCGCATTAGTAACTTTCTCTGATTCTTGAACTGTTCACAAAATACATTTAAAATTCACAGAAAATCAAAACAGATTTTTTCTTTATCAACGTAGTCATCTCTTACTCAGTCGAAACAAACTTATTTCTGCATTTTCCTCCACCGCATGATTTTCTCAAATTTTCTAAATTTTCCAAATATGATACATATAAAATTTTAATTCCAAGTTAAATTATATAAAAATATTTTAATTTTTTTTTCAAAATTAAAAAATACTCATCTCAAATGTGATGAATTCCAATCACATTGATAGCAATACTTCTTAACCTATGAGTTAGTATTTCAATAATACTGTGTTTGACTTTCAATCTAAGTATTTAATGTTTTTGTAAACCTAAACATTTGTTTGAATTTTTTTGAATTTATAACCTTCATATTAGAATATTTAATCCAGATTTGGAGCTTAATTGAAACTAGCAAAGAGTGCAGATTCATCGAAGAAATAGAGAAGACAACTATTCTTCAGGTAAAACAAAATTTGATGGGATTTAATACAACTTTGTTTTTGTGCTGTTGGTTCTATTTTGCATATACTCTTGAAATCAAATTTAGATCTTTAATGACATCATCAGCAATTTGAATGATTGAAATAAAAAACTCATATTCACAAACAAAATCTGCAAAATATTCACAGCATAGAAGGTTAAAATGATTGGATAAAAAATCTCGTATCAATCACTCTGAAAATCACATATGATCGTGTAAAAATTTACATAATCATCATATGAGTCTTGCGATTATATGATCCAGCATCATGAAATAAAACTCAGATTTAAAATCAAAACATATATAATAGAAATTTAACTTTAACCAAATCTGATATCAACCTGCAAGTGTATGATCTTATTGCTTTAACTCACATCCTACATTAAAGTGAACTATTGATATTTTAAATAATGCTAATAACACATACATTGTCTAAAATTATAATTAATTTTAGACATTGATTTAGAAATTAAAGCCACAGAAACACGTAGTGCCTGTGTACTTTTCATCATGATACCGATTGCGAGACTGTTGCCTAAAGTAATCTACGTGCCTCCATAACACCCCTATAGCTTGTGGGCGAGTCTATGTCTATGCATATAGTCTGAGTGGCATCTCCGCACGAAGCAAACAAACTAGAGGCTGTAGTCCAGGGCGTTTTAGAAATGTCAAGGCTGTGATGAGATTTTGGATTCTAACGAACCTTTTTGACATCCTTGAATGATTTCTTTTCCTCTTCCTCCGAAAACAATCTAAAGAAATTCCTTTTCAAAGAAGAGCATGGTCTGTTCATGGGACCAGTGGATTAATCGCAAAGGAGATTAAATTAAAGATCTAAGTGTAAATGAATTATCAGGTATAAGATAAAATTTTAATTTTTACTCTTTTAAATCCTTATAATTCAGTTCAATGATATATATATATATATATATATAATGATTTTCAATAATATATAATGATATTTTAATGATTTCAAATTTTTTGAAATATTGTTTTAAAATTTAGCAAAAATTGAATTATTCTTTCAGGTATATCATCCAAATTTTGAAAAATAATCTCATGAATCTTTTTTATTATATGAAATATGTATCAAATTATTATTATTTGGATCTGGAACTCATTAAATTTCTTATATTTTTTAAAAGTATGGAAGTATGAAAATTGGGGAATAATTTTTTTTCCTTGGAAAATTTTACTGTTAATTTAAAAATATGCAATTTTACTAGACAGTTTTTGAAGATAGTTTATTCTTATATTATATTTTACAAGGTTTGGAGATACAAAAATATCATTATAGTAGAAAAAACTTAAAATTAAATATTTTTAAACTTTTATTGGATAAGAGCTTAAAAAAATTAATTTCAAAACTTCCATTAGCCCTAATTCATATTAACCTCATGCACACAATTATATTTCTACACATATTCACAAAAGCGTATAATCATATGGCTTCAGATCTCTGTATTTTACTTTGATCAAAACATGATTCATTTCCTTGTAAAGTGTTGCTGTCTTTTAATTTTTGTGAGGTACGACTCTCAATCTTGTCCCATGTTAAAGTTGGAATTGTATTCAATTGGAAATTTCTTTCATGTAAGGGATGACATTTTATACAAATTCTCTTTCTTTACAAGCATTAAAGTCAAATATCATGTCCTCTTGCACAAAAGTATCATACATATCAAATAAAGTACACTCTCAAGAATTACAATATGTAAGCTTCTTTGACATGTGAAAGTCTAGCGAGAATGGCCACTTTGTCACGAAATCTGTAGATGATCACAACTAACCTTATATTTGAACTGTTGACAGGTTAGTTTGACAGCCAACTCATACTTGTGACCGAAAATTCCAGATGGGACATGGCAATGAAGCCCCAGTAGGAAAACAAGAATGACTGGAAATTTTTGATGTGCAGTGTACTGACTTTGCTTACAATGCACTAATGAGTTAACGAGCATAATCTGCTCAGAACTAAGTTTCCCGATCTATCGCAGATAATGACCAACAATCACGGTACAGAACTCATATGAAACATTATTTTTTTTTCCTGAACAAATGATAACACATATCAATAATAAGAAGATCTCCTAAATTGTGTGTCTGATGTCTGGAATGGGGGTCAGGTTGAATAATCA